TTGATAATACAAGACATTTACATTTAGAGACCATATTGATGTATTGTGTCCCATTGGGTTTACTTGGTCTTAAAAAGTCTTAAAGGGGTCGTATTATGCTTTTTCACTTTTTCAACTTTAGTTAGTCTGTAATGTTGCTGTTTGAGCATAAAAGAGATCTGCAAAGTTACAAAGCTCAAAGTCCACTTCAAAAGGTTGCACAAATAGGTACAATAGTTCAAAGATAAAACTGAAATGAACCATGCTTTTTCAGGTTTTTCAGGTAGGTCTAACTCTATTCCAGTTAAGGATGCACTGATCAGGATTTTTCGTGACCGATTCCAATTGCCGATTTTTTTTTAATTATTATTATTTTTTTTACAATCAAATGAGCCGATTCCCATACTCGTTGACAATTTATTTAGTTTTTATTACTTTTATTTATAAATTTTTTACATTTATTAAATGTTTATTTTGCTCTGTTACTGGCCAAACTAACCTTAAACAAACAAACACAAATATATGCAACATGAAGCAACTGCACAAAACAAAAACATCAGACGGGCTGAATGAATATTTTATTATTACTCTTTATTATTGTTAGTGTTTTATTACCTTAATTATATGTATGTCTGCACTATGGGAAGCTCCTGACACCAAGACGAATTCCTTGTGTGTGTAAACACACTTGGAAATAAAGCTCTTTCTGATTCTGATGAAAATGCAAATTCAATCTCTGACAGCAGGTGGCGCTTATAGAACAGTAGCAATATCGTTTCCTGGGTTATTGCTGTATGCAGCGCTGCGCTTATTTACACTCCTTTAATATGTATTTAACGAAGGTAAGAGGAAAAAGAAAATGCCATCGAAACTTTTCTGAAGACAGTCAGTTCTCCTCAGAAATACATCCATATTAACCCCCACCCTAATTCCATAATTATGGTTTTCTTTCATTTGAGCATCGCAAACAATTAATTTGTTCTGTCTGGTACAGTATTTTCTCTGCTTGCGCGACTATTCTCTCCTCTTTGTGTCCGTGTTCAGTGCATCTGT